TCTCTCTCTCTCTCTCTCTCTCTCTCTCTCTCTCTCTCTCTCTCTCTCTCTCTCTCTCTGTGTGTGTGTGTGTGTGTGTATGTGTGCCCCCCATGTCCCCTTTACCCGCCATAATGCACGGGGAAATGGCTAAGGCATTTTTTAGCTCTAAGCTTTTGTGACAGTAATTATGGTGAAACCCCACCCACTTCTGCACAATCCCGGTCAAACCTTCCCTCCATGTAGATGCAAAGCATCTCACAAGCAACTTTATTGCTTAGCGTGCACACCATACCCGACATTGCCTGTGTTCCTCTTACTTGCACGTTTCAACAACCCCGATCCCCCCCACAAACCCACCTTCATCCGTTGCCAAAAGTGCTAGTGCTTGGTACAGTCAAGACGACCACATCCACAAAAAAGGCACCAGAGCCCACGGCCACCTGAGGGATGCTTAGTCCAAAGGACGACCATTAAAAAAATGCAGGCTCACGGATCAGGGTCATCAGCCGTGGCCTGAGTTGTTCCTCTCAACCTCCTCCGGCCTCTCCCCATCCTCAACTTCTGCAGCTCTCCTTTTACTGTTCCCCTCACGTACAGGGCTCACCATGTTGATGTGGTTGAGTGCAAGCACCCCATATCCCCATGTGTCATAATGGCCCACTTGCACGCTAATGAAAAGGTGGCAGAGTAAAGCGGGACCGTTATATTTTGTTCCTCTTTATGATGCTCATTCGTACACCTTTAGTAGTTCTGCACCGGGAAAGGGAGGAGAGGGAAAACGAAGGGAAGGGAGATGGCCAGTGAACGCCTACTGATTAACAGACTACCGAATAGGCCCCTACCAATGAACTTTTTCAATACAGCGCAGATTCTGTACCATATGGCACTTTACCAAGGCGTGCACCTTTCATTTTGACAAAAGAGACATTGACCGCAGACACAAGGTGTCACTTTTCTTCTCGGAAAGGCCAGCCGTTGGGCAAGTCAGCTTTGCCTGACTGCAACACGGAGGCGTAGTGGCCCAGAGGAAGCAATGGCCCTAACAGCTCGTGCCTGATTGCATGCTCATTGCAGCCCACCACAGAACCCCTGAGACGGCCGTGAAAGGAGACTCGTCACTTTCAGGAATGATCACGCCAGGATCCCACCCATCAGGTTCCAACAGATGGTCACGGTAGATGCCTGATAACTAGCAATGTATCTGCGTATAGCACACACAGGTTCATGGCCAACTGCTTGTTTGGTCTTATTTACGATGCCATGACTCACCCCACATCTCGAAAGTCATCAAATAGTGATATTGTAAGTTTGACGTCTTCCTCGTCAGACAGTTCATTCTGCCAATCGAATTTATGCAACATGCTCCATCATAGAAGTGCCTCACCCCATGTCGGCTTAGTGAGTGGTAGTTCCACCGAATGCAGTTCTACTGACAGGTACTTCTAGTGAGTGGCAGTCACAATTGAGTAGCGGTTCCAGTGAGTGGTGGTTCCAAGATTCAAACCCCTGATCCGTGCATGAACTCTACCGTTCTCCGAATGGTCTGGCTGCAAGATGGGTGTAGCAGGATGCAGTCACAAGTGAGTTGTGGTTGTCATGAGTCACAGGACTTGTGAGTCACAGTTCTAGTGAGTGGTAGTATTAGACGATGACAGTGCTAGTGAGTGGCAGTTCGAGTAACTGGCAGTTTTAGAGAGTGGCAGTTGTTGTGGTCAGCACCAAGGCGCTGCATCGCAGGCAAGGTTCAGTCACCTCACCTCAACTTTCGGTGTCAAGTTCACCAGCTCAGAGTTCAAAGTCCGTATCTTCTGGGACCGCAGGTCTAGCTGCAACCAGAAAAGAATACAAAACATGATGGGCTAGGGGGTTAAGAGTTGATTTTGAGTGGAAAACACTGAAAACATATAAACACCTTCACTTTCCACAATGCACACCAAATTTTTGACAGATAGACAGCACAAAAAGGCCCCGCACACCATTACAGCACCGATCTGCAACCAAGGTGCACTGGTTAACCCACTGGACTTTCGCAGATATATGGCCCTCCTCCGTGCACTTATATTCATTCATGATAAAACATGTTCAGAGATATGCAAAAGCCTATCACGAATTGCCAGTTCAATCAAAAGCACACACACTACACACACCAACAACTCAAGGCTGGTAATGCACCCTGACGCGCTCGCATGAGTGGGCCTGGACTGGAGCGCCCAAACTCATCCGAGTCAAAATGCTTCCACTTTACTTTTTTCCCGCGGCCGATATATGGCCGAGGTACTGGTGGTTTAAGCTAGAGTTTTCATCATGTATCCACTCAAGATGTCTTAGTGTGAGTAGGCCTTCAGCCATCATCACCTCAGAGAATGACTCTCCAGAGTCCCACCTCTCTGATGATTGACACACCCAGCACACACAGATGCCTCAACCGGCAAACTACAGGTGCAGCCTTTACCCACACAGGAAGCAGTGGCCACAGGCACTGGAGTGTAACCGGTACCACACACCCTACTTTGTCGACTACACCTTTCATGAACCTGGCCTGCTACAGATGTGGTCTCAATGATGCAGGATCGAGAGGCCACGAGTCTTTAACCACCAGTACACCCGGGCCTGGAGGCGCCTTACTGTGCGCCAAACTTTTACAGATGTGGTCTCTTTTGGCCGTCGCGGCCAGCCATTGTCGTCTGGTATGCCGACCCTCAAAAAATTGTAGGCAACAAGTTTGCATTTTCAGCAAGGCTGGGGCCATGTACTGGCCGTTTAAACCATTCGCATTGCAGGGGCAATGCAGACCCTATTTTTTCGAACAATATCTATCATGACCTTGGCCTATGGAGCCCGAAAGGTAAGGCCTACTGGGTCGCAGAACCTGATTGATATCAATGATATGTTAATTTGGCTTGCACCACACTATTTTCTTTCGTCTTTCTTTTTCTTTCAATAATTCGGGCATCCTCCTGAATCTGAGGCATCAATAAAATTCATAGTCTACCTGATTATTCGATTTGCAGTTGCACCACGTTTTTCTTTATTTCCCTGATACAGCAGAGCCTGACCTACATGGCTGATTGTTCTCTTAAATGTTCGTGAACAGGATGAGAATCACAACTAGCCAAACTCAGGGCACTGTAATGACCCACACAGAATCAGTCTGAGATTTCTGCTGTTTTCTGAGTATTGCTGCTTGACGACCGGATTTGCTGATAGCCTGATATTTCTGTGAGCTGTGCGAGTTTGCTGAGTGCATGCATGTGTGTAAGTCACAGTACGATGATTGCTATGCGGAGTACTAACTGTGTGCTTGTTCTGGGTTTTCTGTTATCCCAAGGGGGGGTATAGTTCAAATGAGGAAACCACAGGGGCCAGACTGAAATTGGGACGGGACGGACTACCAGTAGAGACTAGGACGGACAGGGCAAGTAGTACCCTGCAAGGGTTTCCAGTAGCTTACCGAAAAGGTCATGAGTAGTCAGGCCCGAATCTGGACATCAAGTAGGCTAGATTCAGGCCCCGAGATAGACTCACGCACTGAAATAATGTTCTCACCAAAAGGCAGGAACTTCAGGTGGGCCTAGCGCGTCAAAGAGGCAGCAGTAGACGTGGTAGCTCAGCGTAAGCAAAGCTGGGAGGCCATGGTAGGAAGAGTATTTCAATTGGGCAGAATGAGTGAAGCGGTATCTTACCCAGCAGTCATGCCGCTACTCCACCCAGAGGGGGAAGTTGGACAGTGCCAAAATAGTGACGGAGCTTGAGGGAGAAGTAGCAGACCTCCTTGGCTACGGAGGAGGAGAAGCGGTCAGGGGTAGACCTGGCTATGGTGGTAGAGGGAGAATGTGGCATACTGCGTAGCCACACAGGCCTACAGGGCCCGTCCCGGACATTCAGCCTAAAAGCCTAAAACTTAGGGCTTACAGGCCCCGTTCATTTCAGCCTGGATGCTGAAAAACGAGCGCCTGCAGGCCCTACCTCGTTTCAGCCTATTTCTGGGTCTTTTCAGACCCAGAGTTTTCAGCCTGAAACGGAGGGCCATTTTCAGGCCCTCATTGTTTCGACCTGCCCCTAAGACTCAGGCACAGAAACAGGGATGCGGAACAGGCCCAAAATAGCCTGTTCCTCACGTGCTCGAGCAGGAGCTGCAGCTGCAGCCCCTGCCTTCCTTCGGCAGGCTCAAGAGGCACACCCGTAGTACATAGGAGGATCCCATGCACTTCACGAGGAGGGTAGTGTCAGTAGGAGAGGTAGTCTTCAGGATTCGGCCGCAGCACTCAGGAGGAGCGCTGGAGTAGTCTTCAGCGCTAGGCAGTAGTGGTAGCGCTAGCTGTAGTCTTCGGCGCTGGGCGCCATAGCTGTAGCTGTAGTCTTCAGCGCTGGGCGCTGGTAGGTAGTAGATCGTAGAGTGGGAGAGAGACTGGCGGAGGCCAGTGTTACTTACCTGTGGCACCATCGCTCCAGCTCCATCTTCGTGGTACCTGCATCAAGGCGCCAACTTCACAGGTTAGTACTGGACACAGAGAGAGAGAGAGTTCTTCTTCTTCCTCTTCTAAGTCCACCTTCTCTTCTCACCCTCTCGCCACCTGACTTCTCAGACTACGACAGAGAGAGACAGAGTTGTGACTTGAGACTTGACGACATTGGATCCAGACTTGACATTTGGGATTCAGACAGTTCGACAAGGGACCATTTGGGCTTGTGCCGAAGACTTGGTGTTGACGACATTCCCATCTTCCCCCTCCTCTTCGTCTATCCCCTTCCTCCTCGTCTGTGCATGTTCTGGGCTGGCGCTGTCTTCCTGTGTGAAGCGCCAGACCCATTCACACTATGAAANGCATTACAACATTGATTGTTCGGATCACTGGTATCTAAGTCTTCCGCTGTGCTATCTTATACCTTGTATTGAAAGGTCGGTTCTTGTTCTGGTCTGCACCTATACGGTATGCAACAGAGAAGCACCCCGTGCCAGAGGAAGGAGAAGGGCAGTAGAAGGGAGGGGGAACATTCGAACATGATTCCTGTTCGATCATTCATTTGTTGTTACATTGATTGATCAATTACAGTAATAAGAGAGACGAGAGGGACGAGGAAGGAGGGGGAAGACATCGGCGCTAATCTTATCTTTCTCTCTCTCCATCTCTTCTTTTGGATTGAAGCAAGTCTTGCATTTCTTGTAATTCGAGTTTTTCACTACGGATGGAGTAGGATCATTACAACTTTCTCTCTCTCTCTCTCTCTCTCTCTCTCTCTCTCTCTCTCTCTCTCTCTCTCACTCTCACACACACACACACATACACACACACACACACACTTTTTTACACACACACACACAAAGAAAAAAGGAATTAAAAAAACACTCCTCCCCATCTACCCTCCCAGTCCCACTAGTGTCAACCACCTTATGCTCCTATGTCTCCACTATGTCCATGCAAACAACTGGCTTCAAGTATGGCCATGGAATTCTGATTTGCATTCATTATCACCAAGCAGTCTGGCTAACTTCAAGTATGGCCATGGAATTCTGATTTGCATTCATTATCACCAAGCAGTCTGGAATATCGTTTGTAACAATTCCTTCAAAGCATTTTTTCATTTTTTTATAACGCGGCACCTTGCGAATATGTTGTTCTGTATCTAAAGCTTTGAGTGATAAGTTTTCAAAGTGTTGAAAATGCGCTTGTACATGAAAAATGTAAACCATCAAGAAAAACTACCCTCCTCCTTGATCATTCTCCGAAACAGTGTAAACCATCCAAAAAAACTACCCTCCTCGATCATTCTCAATGTCTCGTAACGATTCGCTCCAATCCCTTCCCCACGTTCAGAATTGTATTCCAAACCAAGAAGCATCAGCCAAAATCAGAAAAAAAGAAAGAACCCTCCTCCTGTTCCTTGCTACGCCACTTTGGTCACTTCTGTATGCACCACCTCATGCTCCTACTCCACTACCACGAATGAGAACCTAGTATCAGCACCCCAAGGTAGTCGGCCCTCCTCGACTTCATGGTCGTCTCCTCTGCCTCTCAAAATCAGCACAAACAACAAACCTATGTGTGAACTATGAGCTTTCTCCCTTCCAACTGCCCTGTGCACATCCAGGCCCCTCCTGTCTCCTTTTCCTCATCCTCTTCCCTTCAATATCACCACCTCTCTAAGCCTCAAATACGCCATCATTCTCCTTTCCCCCTCGCCCTCCTGTGTTGCCCTAATACGCCATCATTCTCATTTCCCCCTTGCCCTCCTGTGTTGCCCTCCTCTGCCATAACGAAGGACAGTTGTCCTCCTGTTCTCCCACTCTCGTGCAGACCGTCCTGTCTTCAAACTCGCCATTCACCCTCTCCATGATTCCATCCCATTCATCCCGCATGTGCATGCCATACTCCTTGCCTATTCTCCTCTAACATCTCCCCTCGTTCCTTCATCGCCCGTCCCCCCGCACCTCAGCTGTCCTTGACGGTCCTCTTCATTCTTCCTCTCTCACCTTCTGATTGTTCTCCTCTCCAACTCTTACATCACCGCTCGGCCATTCATTCTCACCACCACCTCTCCAAATTCAAAATGAAAAGTTCACGACCCAGCAAATGATCAAGAAAAAAGTGACCATATTCCCTCGTCTATGTCCTCACATTCCATCTAATCTGTCTCCTTTGCCTAAAGAAAGAAATTGCTCAGATATGTTTGAATCATTCTTGGAACCATTCTCCTTCCCTCAATAAACTGCTCCCCTACTTTTTAATCATTTTGGGAAACAATCTCCTGTCCTGTCGCTCTCTCTCATCTTTCTCCTACTTCCCCTGCTATGACCAAACAAAACTCCTCCATCGGAAAGAGAAAA